CGTTAGTAAATACAGTAATGCGAATGACGTAAAAAGAATTATATATATTATCCTCTTATTCTTAGTATTTCTTTTATTTTATTTTCTTTTATTTTGTTATCTTTTTATTTAGTTTTATTTTTTTCAAAATATTACACGTGTTATTTGAAACACATTCGTTTCGATAAAATTTATTTTACCGAACCACGTAACGTGTTGCCTCTTTTGAAGAAAAAAAAAGTTTTTATTATACTATACTTTAATAGGTCACTTCTCGAGGGAATTTTTGTTAGTTTCGTTTCGTTTCGTTTCGTTTCTATTGAAATGGAAAATATTTTACCGTTGACTTATATATCATTATACTCTTTACACGTCATAGCGTGTATCTTTATCACATTTTTACGAGTAATTATAAGTTTTCTAACTAAACGCGAGAAAGAGAAAAAGAGAAAGAAGAAAAAGAAAGTATTCCATGACTAATCGTCGTTAGAATTCTGATAAGATGCCAATGTAATTTTGTTCATGAGCAATATGATAAAACGTTAACGAAGATATCCGAGTTGTTGATTGGTTGGTTCTATCCATTTTTGTTTCTTTCTTTTTCTATGTCATTTGAATTCGACACAATTGTAGCAGTAAACGTTGATCATTATTTTATTTAACTATGGGTGAACGGAATCAACCGGATTGTTGTCATTCATGTATTTCGTCTAATCGTGATGATTAATGTACGCGTTATCCTTCTTTTCAATTACATATGTACGTCTCCTTAACGAATTAACGCGAAGTGATTTAATTTAATTGAAAGTGCAATTCTGAGCCTTGCTCTTTACAGTATTATATGCAATTAGTGATATACATAGTTGGTAATGTTCTCTTTTTTATCGGCTTTTTTTTTTGTTTAATTTAAATAACTGGCTTATTTATATTTATATTACGTTAATGGGTGTATTGATCGAATATATAGAGGAACATTTTAATCGGTAAATACGATGGTTTATGTATCAACTGAAATAAATCATTACGGATATTTACTAACTTAATAATATTACTTTAAATAAAATGTAAAAATAACGTTTTCAGAAGTTTTTAATATGTGGTTTTTAAGAACTGTTATAATTCATTCTACTTACACGACTTGTTAATATTATTCATTTTAATTATAATTACATATATTATATAAAATAAATGGTTTGAATTTTTTGTCTTAATCTGTTATCGTAATAACTGATACTAATATCAAGATAATAGTATTATTGAATTTAAAACAATAATTAAATAACTTTGTTTCTCTTTTGTTTGATAAACTTTATAATTTAATATTATATTTATCGGAAATAGCATTTTGAATATTTAAGGAAAGAATATTAGTCGATTAATTTAACACAAAAGATTAGATTAAATTTGACTTTATCCTTATACAAGTATGAAAGTAATTTCAAGTGACATTGTTTTTCTTCTCTTTTTATTCTCTCTTTTTTTCTTTCCGGAATTAGGCGACTCATCGAGCATACAGTTACTATCGTTCTTGGCCAAGTTTCTTTTCACGATAAGCTCGGTTTGAAATCGATTCGATTATGCTGATCGTGGAAAACGATTCTTTCCCCTCCTTTCTTTTATGACTAGCATACTTTTTCTTTAATGGACCCGAGCTCATGTAATAAACGCTGTAACGTCAGAGCAAGTGTTTGGAGAACGATCTACTATATTTGTCTTTTCTTTTTTAGTCGAAGTAACTTCTTGGAAGCACCCTTTCGAAGTAATTTAACGAGAATAACGAGAATTAAACTTTACCAATAAGAAATAACACACGAATGTCAACGTGTTCGTAACAAATGTTTAATGTCAAAAACGAAACTTTATGAAGTTAATCATTTTTCGAAAATCATTAAAGTTATATCACATGTTTTTGAAAACTTTCTACAATGCTATATAACATTAAAGTTACATAATTGTATTTTGTAACATTTATTTAATTTTAGTTTCTATTAAATTAATCGTCAATTAATTATATTCAAAGATTAATGTTTGTCGTGTATAAGAAAAATATAATAGAAAAAGAAAAGAAAAATTAAACGATTATTATGACAACCGACTAAATAATACAAAATTGAATAATAATATTTTATAATTTATATTATGAATTTAATGATCGTAAAATTTATTTTTCTAATTTATTGAAAAAAAAAAAGAAAAGAAAAATCAACAAGTCATAATTATTGTGACAAATATCATCTACTCAAGAAATAAAATTTGAATGATAATAAAGATAAAGATTATCGAAGAATGAATGATATATTTATTAGAGAAAAATAATAAAATTATGAAATAAAAAGAAAAAAAAAAAATAATCTCTCGTATATCTCGTCCAAATTTTCTCATGTAGATTTTATGACGATTTCAAAGAAAGGAAGTGTAGGCATCGTTGACCCACTGTTCTCACGCTTGGCGTAAGTTTAGAGTACAGAAAAGAGAAAAAAAGGGACCTCTCTTTTTCTCTGTCTCACTCTTTTTTCGAGTTCTTTTTATTTATGAGAACGGTCGACTCCTTTAAACGACTGCCTGGTATTTCTCGTGACAAAGAGTCGGAACTACACGTTGTCGATGTTATATGCAAAGGGCACACGTACCAGTCTTGCCAACTTTTAATGAGTCATGAAAATGCATGAGAAAAAAGAAAATTGTTGAAATAAATAATGCTACTGTAAGGGCCACTGCACGATATTTTATCGTTTAACAGATTGTCCTCTATTGATTACAATTTTATAACAGATTTATATTACTTTACGATTGCATTTAGAATTGACCTAATTTTACATTATTGGAGTCATTCAGAAGCCAATGCATTTAAGTCCATTTTGTTGTTGTTGATATTTTTTCATTTTTCTCAATATTTTAATGAAATAAATATAATATTCTATTGAATTATTAAATGATTTACTCGTTGCTTCGTTTTTTTATCTTTTTTTAGCTGCCGAAAAGTGAAAGTCCTACATTTTTTAATATTTCCCAATATATATTTACGTTTTTATTTGCATATTTCGTACATAGCTTGTTTTGTTGCGGATAATACCTTTTGAAACAAAATTTTTATATGTAATATTTTTTTTTTATCAAATTAAAAAACTATAAATTTAAAAAAAACGAATGTATTACAAAACATTCATCTCCACAAATTTATTTTTGCTTTCTGGATTTAACCTCATTAGCTTCTGGTCAAACCTTAAATATGCCTCAATCGTTGTCACTTTTGATTTGCGAGAAATTGTTAATGAAAAAATCCGAGATTAATGAAATAAAATTTCATTGATATTGCTATATATTTAAATGCAATTAAACAGGGTGTTCCATTCAAGTAATGCCACCTAAATATTTTTTTAGCTCTTATTGTGATGCAAAAAATATTTTTTTACTCAATATGTATGGTGTCAAAGCATGGTACCATCTGGCAAACATATTTTTTGTATCGTAATAAACCGAAAAGACATTTAGTCGGCTATACTTAAATGGACCACCCTATATAAGCAGTAAAAAATATATAGCGTTTATATTCATTTATTATTTATACGTTTAAACATAGTTATATATATATATTATTTTATATATGATATTTAAATTTATTAACTATTTTTTAAATTTAAATATAATTTTATACATAATAGATTTCTATTAAAGTATAGCACATTTAATATAGTATTATATAATTAAATATACGACGATGGGGGTTGAAAAGTTTTGAGCTTATTCTGTTTTCAAAATTTAAAGACTACGTCGAAGAAATAAAAGTGAATTTAATCGAAATAAATTGTTTATATGTTAGGTCCAAAACTTTTCAACCCATTCGGTTATAAATATATACTAAACCTTTTGTATACTTGAATAGAAGTTCATTAATAGTTAGATTAAATAATTCGAATAATAATTGAAGAACTTAAATACAAATTACTATTAGAGGAAATGAATAATTAATTTAACGTGAAAATTAATCGAAAATTTACCATATAAGACATTGTTACGAAAAATTTGATATTTAAAAATAAACCAATGAAGAAATTCAATTGACTTTCAATATTGTTAAAGATTCAAACTATTAAACGAATAAGAAAATAGGAAAATAAAAGTATCGTTGATTGATCGGCACGTGACAGAGGGATAACACACCTGGCAGCAATTTCATTAGTTAAACACTCGTTGCTCTTACAATGGCGTTTCGATCGTGATTGAATCGGTCCGATGAAGCGTTTTAGGCCATCCAGTTGCTGTCGAAGCAGCATCCGACAGAGATTAAATGATATCGAAACTTGCCTCGATACTAAACACTCTCCCACCTAAATTACTTTCTCTTTTACCTTTTCCATCGTTAATACAATTTTCCTCTTGCTTGTTTTTAACTCCCAATTTTTCTTTTCTTTTTCTTTTTTTTTTTTCTTTTTTTTTTTTACTTTCAAATAACTTCAAATTATTTTTCATTTTCATAATAAAAATAAAAACCAACAATAAACATTAGTTATATAATTATCGTATTATTATATATGATAATTTAATCGATCTGTACGATATTACACATTAGCAAATTTTCAAGTAATTTATTTTCAATCGATATGTAAATTAAAATGAATTATTGAGTATCCAATCATTATCACTTCATTATTATGAAGTATTGGTGGCCATTACAAGGATTATCCTGTATAGAATGGGCGGAAAATTCTATAAGATAATTTTAAATATTAATTACTCTTTTTAGATTGTAAAATTGTGTAATTGTAAGAACATTTTCAAATTTGAACAAAAAAATTAGGTTATTAAGGTCTCGATGAAGTGTAATTGATTCTTAAAATCCTTTAAAAACTTTTTGTTCATTTAGGAACTTCTTACCAATCCTTCGCTCCCTATTTTATTTTCTATTGAAATTATTAAGTCTCATAATAATTAAAACTTGTAATAACATTGCATTTGTGTTTAATTGTCCAGATATAAATAATTCATTGGAATGAAATAAAATCAAAGATTTTTGATTACAGGTACATCATAGCATGTCTTGACGAGAAGGAGAAGTTCTTCAACGGGGTTTTTGGGGTTTCAGTCAAGGGTTCTCCAAAATGGCGGGTGGTCAGCAACTTCCCGAACAATACACAGTACCACAATTAGCAAGGGTCTTCCACAGTCTACCACATCTGAACGTGTCTCTTCATTCGGTCAACAACACGTTCAATCCACATTCCGAGATTTATCTTGAGGTTAGATCATATTTTTAAATAAAATTAATCATTATTATTAGTTAAAAACAAACTCGTTTGCTTTTCTTACGTGTACTTATATTTCAAATACATTCAATACACTTTTATTATCTGATAATAATTAATAAAACAGTTTTTTTAAGCTCCAAATGGATACAATATTCAAAAACAAAATTTGTATGGATTAACATTTTATAGTAAAACTTTTGTTCGATTAATTCATAAAGATATTGTACTATACTGATTTTGTTATTAATAATATTAACACAACAGTCATTATTCATGCTTAACTAGAACCGATCTTAACCCATTTTTTGCAAAATTAGACTTATACCACTTTCAGAAAAAATGACTTATATACGCGCATACTTCTGTAAAGAAGTGGAAAAAGGGGTATACGTAAATCCGATACAAGAGACCTACTTTTGAATTGTTTCAACTTTTCTGAACATTCACGATCGCTTCCAGCAATTCCTAATTTTCGAATTTGAAAGACTCGAGCGTCTTTTGTAATAAAACTACGAAACTGTCGAAAACGTCGATAACGATGTCAGGTTTCATCGTGTCAATTCGATGAGACAAGTTCGATTATTCCCATTCATCCTCTCATATATCCGTATACGTATGTACTATGTATGTATATGCCGATAAGTCATTTGTTATTGAGATGCAGAGAAAAATGCATTTATTTGAGAAATATCGAGAGTTCTTTTTTTCTGTATATGAATATTTCAATATCTTTCTATCCGTTTGTAATAAATATATACCAAATATGTCGAAACACGTATATATATGTTACCGTCAAAGCCGGAAATCAGTCATTGCTATTAATTCCTCGGCATTACTATGACTGCAAACGATCCTTCAGACGAAGTCGACAATTTAAAAATTCTTCTATGTATTCATATTTCACACATTTCGTAGGCATTCTATAGAATGCGTAGGTATTTTATACAATGTTTAAGGAAAGTGTGTAATAATTCTCATATTTCATACATTGCTCAAAAACGCCAGGCAGTATGTACAATGTCCAGGCTTTTCATACATTGCCGTTTCAACATATTGTGCTATAAATTGTGTTATAAACTGCAGAATGAATTGTTTTTGTAAAATTTATTTTGGAAATATTCATTTTAAAAACGCACAAACTTTTGCTTCACCCTAATAATATAATAAAATAATAAATACATATATATATATTTATTTATTTATTTATTTATTTATTTATACTTATATTTACCTACACGCACGAATGAAAAAAATACACAAAAAAGCAGGAAAAATGGAGAGATGGCGGTTTCTAGAGTGGTGTTGAATTTTTCGTTTATTCTTTCTATTTTTTTTTTTTTGTTCTCCACGAAAATATATTCTCGGAAAATTTGACGAAGCCGCTCTAGAAACGACGACGACGACGACGACGACGAATAAGAGGAAGAGTTGGAGGTGGAGATAGAGATGGAGAACGAGTGTTCGTTTCTTGCCCGCTAAACCCACACATTGCCTCTAGGCACATTATGCGATGCCTTTGTGCATTGTTTGAATTTTCCCGGACCATTGTGCTTTCTAGTTGCACACCATGCCAGATTCTGCCATTGCAACCCGCGACGTCCAGCTAACTCGTTCGTTCGTTCTTTTTCCATACTACTTGCATTTTTTTCTTCTTCTTTTAACTCTTTTTAACTCCTTTTTCTTCTTCTTCTTCTATTTACTTCTTCAACCTTTTCGTTTCATCCTTTTTATATTTTTGTGTTTCACCTTTTTATTTTTCTTTCTCTTACTCTCTTATGGCTCGACACTCTTAGAATTCTTTTTGATTTTTTTATCCTCATACTGTCACATTTTTAACTCTTCTAGAGGAAATCAAATTTCAGTGTCTTGTATATGTTTCCTTCTGTTAAAAGATCATCATTTATATTACAAAATGTAATATTCTACTAATTTTCTATCAATCACAGCGATCACTTTGCCTAACTTGTACGAATTAACATTGTTCTTATTTTGTTTATTATTTTTTAACTAAATTTACGCGTGTATATGAATATGTGTGTCTGAATGTAGGTATACAGTATACCTACGTATATACTGGTATTTGTAGAAAAGTAATTAATAAAAGGAAAAGTAAAAAAAAAGCATAAATACAATTAATAATTTTAAATTGAACATTATATACATATTTATATTAATAATTATGAATATAATACTAGTTTGACGTTACCGAGTAATATAATAAATCTATTAACTTATTAGGGGGAGATGATATAATAATAGAATATAATGTTATAATGTGAATGAAAAGATTTACTCGAGTTAATATTATGTCTTTATTAGGAAGACAATAATACTCGTATCTCACAATCAGTGAAATGGAGTCGGTGAGAATATAAAGTATACGTAGGTACGTCCACGTAAAGCTCAACGTCTCGGAACGAACTGACCTATTGTTTGCAATGACATCAACGACCGGAACCATAATGCAGGACAGGTATATACGGAGATGTTTGACTATAATGAGTTTTCAGTATTTTGTCGAGTAAGCGTTTGAGATGTTTAAAATCAACCCTCTTATTTACAAATAATCTTAATTACTTCATAAATAGATCGTACATGTACATATATGCTAAATACATAATTATAATACTTAAACATACATTTTGTTAACGTTATCATTGATGGATGTATCGTTCAAGTAATCAAGAATTACACAACTTTGTGATATAATTGTTCGTTTGTTATGTTATCGACAATAATAATGACTTCGACGACGACACGATGGTGAATAAAAAAATAAATTTATATACAATAGACTTTCGTGTATAACACGAATTCGTACAATTCGAATTCCTATAAAACATCAAAAAGTTATTACGACTATTATTTTGATATAACGCGATTCCTCGTAAAACGAGCTGTATAATAAAATGCGAAAATTACTCGCTTTCAAAAATTCAATTTGCATTAATTGAGCGTTGCATAGTAGTTTTCTTCATCGTTATTAGATTTCATTTTCGTAATTGATTTTTCTTTTTTTAATTTTATTTTTGACCAATACGTCATTAAAAATAATTAACGAAAAAGAAATATTTTCTCAATATTTATATCTCTAACACATATACTTTCATGAATTAATTTCTAAATTACTTCGAAAAAAAAAAAAACATTTCCTATAACCCAAATTTCTTTTAACACGTAACATATCAACCGCGTTATACTTAAGAGTCTGTACTATACAAAATTAATTGCATATTTCAAAAATAAATTGAAAAAATTCCTTCTACTTGATCGTATCCCATGTAAATTTCAATTTAATATTGCATACAAAAAAACAAAATAATTGATCGATGATTTTCACTATATAAAAAAAAAGGAAAAAATAAACGAAGTTAAATAATAAAAGGCACAATTTCACAGAGAAATTAACGTTCCACTTGAATATTCGTTGCAGGTAGTCCTTGAAAAAGCGAGCTCGGTTTAACTCTTTCCCTTTCTCTTTTTTCCCCCTATCCTTGGTGTTAGGTAGAAAAAAAGGGTGATGATGACGACGACGACGGTGGCAGGCAGATTCAAGGGGATACGAATAGACGCGAAATTTCGTGCGAACGCATTACTTTTGCAATAGGGAATGAGTAGGGGGTGGTAAGTTCCTTCGTGGTTGTGATTCCCATAGAGAACGGTGAAAACCAAGTCAGGAAAGGTGGTACCTACTGGTGCCGTGCCTCTAGCTGACTGAGACCCACGTCTGAGCACCCTCGACGCGACACCGAGTCGCGGTAATTGGGAACACCAGGAGGACTGTTTATCCCGCTTCAACATATTTTTTCACCTCACCCTTCAACAACCTACCCTTTGAAACTCGTAAAAATATATCGTACAGTACATACATGCGAGTTTTATTGCCCCCGTCTCATTTTCATTTATTTTTTTTTCTCTGCATTCTAATCGGCTAATTTAAACTCGATTCCTTTTTTTGGCATATATTATATTATTATATTATTATTCTTATATAAAATTATCAATAAATTAATATAAATTATATTTCAAACGAATTCAATATTAATTGTAATGAATTTTAACAAAATTAAATGAAATTATAGAACAATATGCGTGCGGCACGTTGCAACACACAAACAAAATTCAATTAGACCAAAATAATATATAAGTTACATATATCGGTATGTGATTATAATGTGCATCAATATTGTTTAGTTTTTGGATGATTCTAAATGTTAATGAATTTTTTATTTTAATCATATCAATGTTTAAAAAAAAAAAAAAAGAAACAAAGAGAAATAGATAGTATGTATTAATGTGATAATCATTGATAATTACAGAGCTTGGGTATCCTTGGTAGTATTCCTGCAGCCTGGTTGATCCTGACATTATTGGTACTGTTGGTTTATCTGGTAACGAGATGTTGCGACCGGAAACCTCGGCCCAGGAGGTCGATAGCCCTGCTGAAGTTTTCGCTGGCCATCCTTGCTTTGCTTTGCTGTGGAACGGTTGCCGTTGGCCTTTACGGCAATGACGACGTTCACAATGGTTTGGTACAATTAGTCGCGGCAGCGAAGAACGTCGATGGGATCCTGATGGGCGTGAGAAACCAGGTTCGACCTTCCTCAATCAATAAACTAAACTATCTCACTCGAAAACTTGTCATTCCAAATGAAACGTGTATATCGTGTTTGATATTGGACCACGAAGATGTTTCGAATTGTTCGGATATTGTTCGACAAATTTCACAATCTTCAAAGTTCTAATAGGAATACCATCTGGTATACAGTAAATTCTCGTATAACGCATTTATGCATTTTTTCGAAGTCGTGTTATAAAATAATCGTGTGCTATAAAAATTCTCTTCGATATAATTTACAATTTGTTTATGTGTAAGAATATATGTATTAGATATAAATATTATATTAAGAAAATTCGTCTTTTTACCGTAAACTATTTTTAGTAACATATTGGTAAAAAATAAGAAATAAATACAATGACAATTATTAAATAAAATAAATTGGTAGCAATTAAGACAACATTTTAATGCTCGATTAAAGCAAATTGAATTTTGAAATGAATTATTATAAAATAGTAATAGTAATAGCTATATGTTTTAAACGTTTTATAGAAATTCGCACTACGAGAACTATTTAATTATACGAGAATTGATTGTATTCTAAACATCAAAGAAAATATTTGACGATAATTTATGTTCTTATATTATATAAAATAATTCAAATCCAACGTATATTAACATATTCAAGGAAATATATAGTCAATTGAGCAAAATCATTTGCATATAGCATATGGTAACTAAAGTGATTGAAAATTTGCAGCAGAGATTCGATTTAGAAAACGACCAACGATCATCGATAATAATCAATTCTTCTCTCTCATTTATCTAACGCTGCAACAATTCTAAATTATCGTCGGGTTTCATCAAATGGACAGTAATCGAATTGTTCGAACGTTTCCAAATTCATTAGCAGCATTCTCTGTAAGAGTTGTTCGATCTCGGTATGAAAACTTTATGGACTTGAATCCCGTCATCGTAAATTATAACTGCTCTTGTGGTACTGCCCGAGTTAAGATTCATCGTATTGAGGTCGTTACGATTATCAAGTGTCTCTCTTTCTCTTTCTGTCTTTCTCTCATGTCAGTTGCATGCTGCAAGATCAGCGTTTCTTTCGTGTTGCTTAATATAAAACACGTCATTTATTGGAAACGGATATCAATTGAAAATCTATCTTGATCCGGCCTTTAAGTTAAATGCAGAGAAAGTCGGACAACTCTTTCAACGTGACTAGTTAAATTTAGAATACTAACAAAATAATAAAATGAGTATATTGTATATATGTATATACGTATAGAAAATATATATCTTTTTTCTTTTTTTTTTTTTTTTTTTTTATATATATATATATATATATATAGACGGACACCATAGAGACAACATTACAAGAGAAAGTACAACGACAATTGACTGCTTTGGGGGACGAATTTGATGCACCTGTTAGCAACAAAACGATGTTGGGTCTACTATTGGTAGCACTGAATAGTATGAAACAAAACACGAGCATTGCCTTCAACCGGAGCCTCGAAATCCGCAAGCCATTGAGTGGGATCAGTCTTGCAGGGGCCATTAGTATGGGGGAAAAAATCGAGCAACTGAGGTGGCCCATTACTATGGCTGTACTGAGTGCACTTCTTGTTCTCTGCGTTGTACTTGTAGTCGGAGTTGCTAGACACTCGAGATGTGTTCTAATTACGTAAGTGTTTAGAAATTCCCCCCCCCCCTCCAAAAAAAAGAAAAAAAAATAATTAAAAGATGTTTTTTTATTTTTCATTTCTTTTTTATTAATACAAAATCGACAAATGAAAAGTTGGATTGTTTTCAGATTTTCTGTATTTGGGCTATTCGCGGTAATAGTTTCTTGGTTGATGGCTTCCCTTTATTTAGCAACATCAGTCGCCCTCGGTGATCTTTGCGTGTCACCGGACGGTTATCTAACTAGATCGGTACCCTCCACTTTGGCCTCCGAGGTGCTCTCGTATTACACGCATTGCGAGAACTCTCGCACGAATCCCTTTACACAGAGGCTAAGAGACGGACAACGAGCTGCGGGAAATATGAGGCAAAACTTGAATACTGTTTCACGCTTAGCGACAGAACTTTTCAAAGAGCAGCATGATCAACTGAAGCCCAAGTTGAGTAGCCTCTTGACCGACGTTAACGCGGTCGATAGACTCATGTCTGGTCTAGCGACGTTACTAGACTGTAAACCACTTCACAAGCAATACGTTCATGCTGCTAAAAGTTTATGTCACCTAGGATTGTAAGCATTAAATTTAATCGATCATAATTATTGAAAATTATCCTCATCCCGTTTTATGCGGTGTCCTATTATAATCGTTTTACATTGGGATTATATTTTTTAGATACGGCCTCACCTTCATGCTTCTTGCAAGTCTAGCCGCTGGATTATTTTTCACTGTATTGGTATGGGTTGATTCTCACACGTGGATATATATACGTAAACGGTGAGTTAAGAATTAAATTTCATTTATAACCGAAATAAACAAATGAACAAAATATGATGCCTGTTACGATTTGTTCTAGAAGAGATTACCACCAAGTGGATGAACAAGATCCATATTTGCCACCATCGGCAGCATCTCAAGCGATAGCAGCTAGGACCCTTCGTGGCCAAGGGTCGTACCCGCCTACAGCCCCTTCTCTTAATCCGAATGCTCATGGCACCCATAATACCATTAAGCAGCCTCTCTTGCTAACGCCGCCCCCGCCGTCCTACGCTACTGCGACTGCTCGAGCACGTCAGCTGCACGAGAGCATGTTAAAGTTTGTGCATGAGACTTTTTTATGTTTTTTCTCCTTACATACTCGTATTTTTATCAAACGAGATCTTTCAAACGAAATATCCAAAGACTTTCACCGCGGCGTTGCGTCGGTGCGTTTAAATATTTTCACGGGAATATATACCGTTTTTCTAATGGCATCATTGCTGATTGCTTAGAATAGATATTTGATGACATGTTGAACTTTTTTATAGGCAATGTGCATTTAAAAATCGCTTTACGGCGATGTTTATTTGAACGAATTTGTTATTCGATATTACTATATTATAGAGAATAATAGTTTAAAAGCATCAGTGTTATAAAATAGAGCATGGACACGAGTTTTCTGCATCAAATTTTTTACCAAGCTTCTAGAAAAAAAAAAAATAATAACAAACTTCAATATTTTATAAATAAGGAAATGTTAGAAAGCAAATGTCCAAGTTCTAACGATTAATAACGCAAGACTCTGCTGCGCCTTTTCTGAATGTCGCTTTCGTTGTTATATAGAACATACTACAGTGCACAGGATAGTGAATATCGATATTATCTTTTAATCACATTACCTCGAACTAACAACTGTTTCATTAAAACTACGTGATTAAATTGAACATGGTAACTGTGTGCGCTCAGTGTTATGTTCCTTTTTTTCTTATTACTCTCTCTTAACTATATTTTAACATGTTTGTATGAATTACAATGTTTCGATGTTTCAATAACGAATGTTTCAACGATATTAAATTCATTAGTACCGCTCGGATTGTTGTTACATCTTTCACGCATAATTGTTTGATTTTCATCATTATTAACATTGACGTTTTTGAAGGTATTTTTTTTTTATAGATTAAACGATTCGATCTGAAATAAGTTAGGTGACAAGAAATGATCTGAGAGAAAGATAATGCTGCAACTTTGTTCTCTTTTGTTTACCGTTTATAGAGGTGGGGGTGTTAACGGGAGTGGAGGAACCGGAGATCACAAATCGTCTCAGCATAATCAGCAGTCGACAGGTGGACGAACTGAGCACCGTTCTGGACTCGGAGATCAACCTGGCCAGTACGCGACTTTGAGCAAGCAATGCAAAACTCTTGAATCTAGTGACTTCTACTGAGGGCACGCCCCCGCAGGGTCTGGTGAGCTCAAATTTTCTTCTCGACTTTAAACAAAAAATATACAAATAATAAATTCACAGCTTCGTCGTCTATAAACTGTATTATTACATTACAGTAATCTATCGAATATATAAAATCTTAGGTAGAGAACCACCTTGGACGCCAAGCGTGGCATCTTTTACCGGCACCCTGTCTCACAATTCTCATGGACCCGCACATTTGGCGACCTTTCAAGATTCGAGAAAAACTCAAACGTTGGATCCGAAAAATTTAGCCAATTTAAAACGCGGCCCAACACCGGCGTGGAACCAAAATCGTCCATTACCGCCGAATCCGGCGAATCAACCTAGTTGGGAGTTCGAGTCGCGATCGCAAACTAATATGAATCAATTCCGATCGTTGGTGAGGAACAAGGCGCCTAACATTCGTATACAAGATCAAATGCAAGATCAAGTGAGAACGTTGGATAGAAATTTCACGCGTAGCCAGTTTAATGGTACAGCACAAAATAATGCCGTACCTAACATGTACGGTACATATAACAGGGCACATGGAAGACAAGAAAAGCCAACGGTAGCTACGTTGAGTCAAGTACAGGGTAGTGATCCTAATCTATACGCTGTAACCGAACTTTAAGCGACTTATTCGATAACATCAAAAGAATAACAAGCAAGCAAACAAATAAATAAAAACAACAGAAAATTTGTCATTGATTGAAAGAAACAACAAATATATACGGGCTAAGAATGCTAGGAATTTCTTCAAAAAACAATTCGAATAAAAACCCTCGTTTTGTGGAGTTCCTACGTAGATGCGTTTGAACGGATAATCTTTCGTTGATTCTTGAAAAAGAAAAGTAATGAAAAAATGTAAGAAGAAGGGAAAAAGGACGGGGAGGGGGAGGTTTAAACATATCTCCGATATTAGGAATTTCATCGGAGACGTGCTATTATACATATATATATATATATATATTTATATATATATCTAAAGTTTTGTATTTGTATATCATGTACAGAAAAAATTGGTCGATCCTTCTACGTTAGTCCCTTTCATACGTTCACAGTTATTGTTGCCTCTCTTTCATCCGAAATATGTTATCAGTGGAAATCTTCGGTAAAATCACTAATTCACGAAGAAAATATAAGATAATTCGAGTATACATAATTGATCATCGCTATTTTTAACTTGTGATTTATAGAAAAGGAAAATAAACAATTTATATTCTAATCACATATAAAAAGAGAACGTGAATTTTACTACGTTTTATAAACATTTCTATCGATAACATCGATTGATATATATATAATCAACATATATGTATATACATCGTAATGTTAAACGTCGATATCTAACGTGAAGGAATACCAAAAGTTTTTTATATCTTTTTTATATTTTTAATGTATTATGCGGCATATAATATGAAATCCGTGTTGATTTGTTGTGAATCATTCTGAAAAATTCTTATAACGAGTATATAATACGTATATATAGTATATACGTATAGTAAATATCAAGTTACTATACGATAATGAAAAACAAAAAAAAAACTGATGAGTGATACATATTTACGTATATTTATTATCGTTAATATTTAAAAATCTGTATTTAACAATACACACAGAATGATGAATCTGAAGATTTTTACGAGAAACGCACTCCCAAATGAAAATTTTTATTAAATAAATAATTCGCGATATACTGCCAATACTCAGGCGAATAAATATATATATATATATATAAATATATATATACTTTTTAAGTACAAATGTAACGGAAGCACACACAACATACACAAACGTGTCCTATCAACGGCCGCGTTCTTTTTTCAGTTTTGATACGACTAGTGCAAAGTTAAAAATAAAATAATAATATAAATTATAATTAATAATAATATAATATTAATAATAACATAATATAATAATAATAATAATAATCTGATGTATCAGCAAATCTAAACATGACAAAAAATGGATTTCAAATATTATATAGCCTTCTGAGATTTATTTACCCTAAAGGTAAATAAATATACATGGCCTTTTGTGTGGAAGTATCGGAAGGGCAGATCTTTCTTACGTGTTTTTATTTTTAATTCGTAAAGTAGTAATAGTAATAATAATTAATAATGATTATTAATAATAATAATTCTAATAATATTAAAGGAAAGAGAAATAAATCAAGAAAAAACACCACATACACACTCACGCGGAACAGAAACACAAATATACAGACAGAAAAATATACTTAAGCTATTGAATTTTCTGCGGAGCGCAGAGTCTTCCTATAAGATGTTTAACAAATTTAGAAAAGACCTAAATAAATAAATAAAAGATTAAACGATTTAAATAATAAGTTATCAACGAATCTGTGTAGATGACTTTATATTCCGCAAATAATTCAGTAAACTTGTAAATAGTATATTATATCATCGAGTAAATGTGTAAAGTGTGATAATTTTGAACCTAGATGTACGAGTTTTAAAACAAAAACATAATAATATATTCTATACCTTCTTATTTCACAGATTCTTCAAATTAACAAAAAACAAAAAGAAAAGAAAGAGAGAATGCCATTCCAAAAATAAAAAAAAAGAAAGAAATAGACAGAGAGAGCGAGAGAGAGAGAGAAGGAAACGTTCTATTATAATTGTAATTTTCAGAGTGACTTTAGAATTTAATCTTCGATATAATTCGCAAAAACATTACCATTGCAATATTAAATATACAGAGTAGGTATAAGAAAAAAAAAACAGGTGAATACAAATAGCGAAAATTTCATCGGATGTAAATAATTGTAATATTTATTGAAGAGAGAAGAGAGCATCGTAGCGCATAGGATAGCAACATTTAGTTGAACATTAATTATAAGTAAACGGCGATTAATAACATTTGAGAAGCACGTGCATTCACACATACAACACGTACGCAAATCCAAAAAAACAAACTATGCGTGCTGTTTATTTTGCCGATCAAAGGCAAAGTATCCTAGTCACTAAATAAAACTTGTTTCTGTTCATCTAAACGATGAAAAGAAAAAGGAGATGAAAGATTTAAGAATAAAAAAAGGAAATAAAAATGAAAATGAAAAGAAATGATCTCTTGCCAAATTTTCGAAAGAGCTCAATTTTCCAAACATAAAATGAGTGAGGAGGGCGGGGGTGGAAAGAAAAAGAATACAAAAAAAAACATACTAAACTCTTTTATCAGATAATTGTAATATTACTATTATTACTATACCTAATATCGTTGAAGTTACATTAGATACGAGTGTCAGACACACGCCCATACCTTTCTTAGATCTTAAGGGAGAGTATTATTCGTGAATAAATAAAATGTAAAGTGTAACACGACTTCGTTCTAATTCAGTGTTCTGCGATATTGCTTCAGTTTATAATATTCAATATTCATTTTTGCTAACGCTCGCAAAAAGTAGTTTTTTTTTCCTCGAGTTATTTTTTAAGTTTAATGCAATTAATATCAATTTACATTTTATTGAATATATATGTGTATAAAGTTTTATTAGAGCTAAGTTTAATTACTTGAATTTATCTTCAATTAACGACGACTTAATCGTGCTAATCATTCATTTCCAAATGTGTTCAGTTTTAAATAAAGTTAATAGCTTTAATATAAATTTTTACAAGTACTAAATTTATTTAAATATTTAATCCTTAAAATATATACATACATAAGACAACTTTGAATACAAAAAAAAAATAGAAATAAAAGAATGAGATCTATTAAATGATTATCGTCATAAATAAATGATCAGAAACTCGGACGATATCGAAGAACACTGAGTACAGTAATTTTAAGTATAGCGAAGAACTTGGAGAATGAAAATCGTCTCTGTCGTTGAAGACTGCTGCAACACGCGCAAACGGGAACAAATAATACACAGAATTGTCCAAGTTAACAAAAAAGAAAAAAAAATTGTAATACATTACTTTAAAAAGTTGAATATCTAACACAGTCCAAAAGCGTGAATAACAATAACACGTTAAAGAATATTTTTTTGAATCTTTCACAAGGAATGGAAAAAAGTAAAAACTGAAAAATACAAGAAAAAGCAAACTCGACAAAAGGGAAAATCATTGATTGGTCTGATAAAAAATATTGTGCACACAAGTTTGTTGTCTGTACGGATTAAACAATAGCATCGACTATTTATGTAGTTGATGAGCGGAACTGATAGAGAAAAAAATATTAAATTCTAAATATGCGAGAGTCGTACGTACGTAGTCTAGACGATTGTTGATGAAACTTTTATTCTAATCGTTTGTCAATTTGTACCGTTAAAAAAAACAAATTTCGAGAGAAAGAGAGAGAGAGAGAGAGAGAGAAAGAGAGAAAGAAAAAACGAGAAAAAAAATTAAGAACCATTTTTTCTAATAAGTATAACTGCATTTAATTCCCGCATCGTTTTTATATAAGTATGTATAAAACATTGACTGGGTAGAATACAAGTGAAAGAATAGAAAAATTAGAAAAAGCTGAAATTGTGTATGAAGGGATATGAAGGGCGAGAAAGAGAGAGAGAGAGAGAAAGAGAGAAAGGGAATTAATTATTTTCGAAAGAATTGATAGTGGAAGTAGTATAATTATAGAACACAAAGAAATATTCATTTTAAATTGGTGCATTGTTTGAGCCTAAAAACACCTACCAGAATAATTATTAAAAATCGAAAAATAAAAGAAAAAAATGTCATCGATCAAGGAAATAAAATGTATTACACATCGATTAAAAGCACGAATATGTGATAATATAATATCACTTATCATCTTTTACTTAGATTTTGAACGACCTAAGCTTTTGTGCACCCTGAAAGACTGATATTGTATGATTTAAAGCGCTGTAATCATTTTTCTTAATAAGCTATTAATTATGATAATATATATTTCTTTAAATATGTTACATTAATACTTCGTTTTTGCTACAACGTTTTGATGTGCATATATATATACATATATGCATGCTTGTCGATCACGAAATGGTGAACTTTTTGTTTTTCCATAACGACATTGTTATAATAGAATCTTAAAGCATTACGATACTAATTTTTAAGAGAGTAAGTTATATATATATACACACACACATATGTAAACATATTTTGTGTTTTTTCTCTCATCGCGCGAAAGAGATATTACATATTTACAAAGTATGTGTAGAGGCTACTGAAAAGAAATTTATTATAAGTTAAGATTTCAATAAATGTTTCTCATTTTTGTTTGCACGATGTGTGCGCAATTTTGAATGAAAATTGTAATAAAGGAGATTATTTCAAAGGCATAAGCCGAAATCTGTCACTGGATGACATTTTTGTAAGTTACAATCGTGTGTAATTGCCATATGCCACACTTAATTCCTCCTATTGTAATGGTATGCGAATATTGTGAAAAGAGAAATAAAAATATAAATAAGACATGTAGTTTGTTTTAAAACAAAATTCCTTACAAAATATTATTTTATAATATTATTACGCTATTTACGTATTTTAATATTTATTCAGTAGCAATATTTTATTACAACTGTTTGGTACATAAATATACATACAGCTTAATTTATTTTCATTTTATTTATCCGTTAACAATGTACGATTATTTTATAATGAAAACATTTTATCTCAATAATTGCACCGGAATTTCATACAAATTCCATTTTATGCGTGATTAAATGCTATTTAATTTAGCAACGATTTCAAAATTTTAGCTTGCTTCATTGCATTTCTAATGTCTTTGGTGATTTTTTTATTCTTGAATGTTTCAATTGTTCTTAGAAAACTTAATAATGCTTTTTCTTTTCTTATTTCTTCACTTAAAACAAATAAAATAAAATTTAAAAAAAATTAATAATAAAAAGAAATAAATTTTTTTACATAGAGATTATCAAGTATACGGCACTTATTAATACACATAGAAATCACAATATCACGTTATTTATCGTGAGTTATTAAATATAATTTGTTGTTCAGAGTTGTGCAAAACAAACATTACACTCTGTTTTAATGTTAACATGATGAATAAAAACAAATTGATTGATATTAGGAAATATTACAATTTAATCAAACAAGGGAAAAAACTAATTTTAATATAAAAATGCATTGCGCCTGGTTAAAAGAATGATAATTAAATATCTATTATTACATTTTATTTGTCATAAATGTACCCCTTTGTTATTATCCATCAAGTTTATTTAAATTAATCCTATATCGGGAAAATAATGTAATGTTGTTTCCCATTATAAAAAGAAAGAAAGCTATTGTGCTATAAAATGTATTGCCACATGATTAATTATATTAATTTGTTAAGAAAAAAATTTGATACGCTTAATAAGTACATGGCTAAGAATAATTTAAAATAGAATTAGATTCACAAAGAAAATTTCTATAATAAAAGTTTTCGTGAAATAAGAAATTCGACACTTTAGAAATATAAAATGATTCATAACTTTTATATAATTGCTTACAAAGCAATAAGCAATCTTTTACTTAATGATATCATTAACAAGCTCTTTAATATACAAGTTTTTGAATTAATACTTCACTCTATAAATATTTTAATGCACCTTTTGATGGAAATATTTTACATAATTTTTATAAATTCATTGCTTACCTGTCAAGTCCATTTTTCTTAGTATTTGGAGAAAGAAATCATTTGTTTATATTCATAATGTGTGTGATGTGTGTAATATTTACTACGATTTAACTTCACTAGATTCTTCTTTAACTTGAGGATGACAAATGGTATTCGTTATAACCGGAATACTTTTACCACTTTGAAGACTGGAATGACTGGATGATCGACTGTGACTTTGGCTTCCAGCTCCAACAGGTGTTTGTACAAGTGGTTGAGGTGGTGTTCTTGCACCAGAACCATTGCTATTGGTTGCATTTGGTTGTAATTGCATATGATATTTATAAATATTTTCTGTGCTCTCGACAACCCCTATTCAGAAGAAAAGAAAAAATGTATAAGATCACAATTGGTAACAATGAAATTTTAAGTTTATTAAACTGAAATATATTCATTTGTACCAGCTTGTAGATTTAAGCTGCGTCCACGCACTCCAGTTTCTTTGGAAGGAGGACTCCACCAATTGACTAATGTTCCTACTACAGGCACATGCCTTAAAATTCCCTCTTGCCAAAGTTTTTCTGCATTTTCTTTTTCTAAATCTGTTTGGGCTGCTTCAATACCTCTTTTAACCACTTCTGATATAGTATCTAATAATTTAGAACTTGCTTCTACCTCTTGTCCTACTTGAAGAACCAAAGACAATAATTCTGCCACATCTACAAACCACAATATACATCATACTATAATATAAAACTATAATCACACTTATATTATCTAATTAAACAACTGATACTTATAACAAAAGAACCTGTATCTTGTGTGACCATGCCAAATCGCACACAAGCTAATCCATCTGCTCCTTCGCCAAGAGAAAAAGCAGCATCTGTACTCCGTAAAGCTTCTACCAATTGTGTATTTAATTTATTTAATTCCTCTTTAGCCTGATCTGTCATGACATGGATCCAAGTTGGTGGAGCATATCTAACACCACCTAATCCTGCCCAACCTGGCATTTCTACCAAGTGTAGTGAATCATTCTCAGAAACCAAACGGACGAAAGTGTCTTTATGTTCTACAGTAGCCAATAAGATTTCCTAATGATAAAATATAATAATTTTCTTATATAAAAAAACTATATTAATATTTTTATTTGAATAAAATTAATTTATCTTACTATTTGTTGCTCCAAACATGCAACTACATTATCTATATCTTCAGAAGTCGGTGGCTGTTCAGGACTTTCCAAAGGACAAATACGAATAGCTACACCGTGATGTTCAATTTCACAAAGTTCTATTTGCACATTTTCTATGTCTCTTTGTAAGATTTGTCCCAACCAAGAATTTAATTTATCGTAATAAGGAGGTACACGTTCTGTTGTCTGAGGATCACGATCTGCTGGCACAAACTGAAAAACTAATGCACTCGAAACAACTTCAAATATTTGTGAACTGTTAACAGGATTCGTCAGAAGATCGTTTATTGTATATGATCCTGATTCACTACCAGGTGTTTGACTCTGAAAAAATTTTATTAATATTGCTAGATTTAGAAAATTGTTGTTTTAACTTATTTTAATAAATATGTATACAATAACATACCAATAAACTGATACAGCTGAATTTTTTTATTTTATTGTACAATTCTTCAATTGCTAAAAAACATTGTTTAAACCTATTCTGTACACCATCTCTACCTAGAGCTTGTAAAGTACACCACAAAGGTAATGTTGGCAATTTTCTTGACAATGAATCTGCCATTAAGCCAGACATAAGGGATAATGTTGTGTCTCGTGTAGTGGGTCTTCCACCTTTTGTATCTGTTAATCTATATAATGTCTACTCAATAATAGTTAAGAAAAGAATTATCATTACCTGTTAAAAATTGTTCTTTCAATAAGATAGTAATTGTTTATTAGGAATCCAATATTTAAAAGGATACAACAACTGGTAATGATGGTATACCAAGCCATACACCTAATGGTAAAGTAATACTATCTGCGATTTTTGAAGGCTAGAACAAAAAGTATATATATTCCACCATTCATAAATTTATTATACATATTTATATATAAGAAATATACTAATTCAATTACCAGATCTCTTGTAGAATTATTCAACGTTAGTGCTGCTAAGGAATGACCTCTCAAATGAAGCCAAACATTATATGTATCACAAACTGCGCGCAAACGTACAATATTATCACAATGTCCTGTTAAAACAGATCCTGCTTCTGCCAAAACTAATAGCGGTGTTACATTATTAGATTGTGTATCTTCTGCTAAACGTCGTTCTAATGCAGCAACATCCATACTATAACGTGACCCGAACATAGTGTTATGAGGAATGGGTCTTACACAATGAAGTGGTAAAGAAAGCTGTAATTGAAGAATTTAAATGAAAAATCGTATATTTTTATAATATCAAAGTATCTTAAAAAAATATTATTCATGTATTACGTAATCAAAATAAGAATGCACCTGTCTACATAAATGTTGAACAACAGCTAAAGGGGCAGCTACCGAGCTATAAATAAGAGGTGAGGATGAAGCAAGTGCTGTAAATCCTTCTTCCATATATCTTGGATATTTACGATGTAGAGCTAGTCTAGTTACTCTAACCAATCCTTCCAAATGATCTTCATGAAACGAAGAAGCACAGTCCATAAATCGAAAAATATGACTAAGCCATCGTGTTGTGTCTGCTGCTAAGCGACCAGCTAATCTTTGGGCATGAGTTCTTGGAAGTGCAACTGCATAAGCAGAGATAGTGTGCGCTATTAAAGCTAGTTTTGCTGTTTCCGTCAAAGTAGGTAAATTAGTAACTTGACTATTTGATTGTTCTCCTGTATCATCTTCATTTGTTTGCGGTGCATCTTCATGGATAATCAAATCCTACAAAAATAAGAATATTATATATTTTCTTTTCTAAACTCAATCATTGATTATACTAAATATATTTTGTTCATTATAAAATAAAATTAGATCAAAAATAAAATTCTGAGAAAGAGAATGATTAAAGTTTTTAAATATAACGTCATGTATACAAAAGTGTATTAACACTTTACTGACCGATCGCCTATTAATCGGCTTTTTTTTATCAACAACG